AATGTGACCGAGACAATCTGACACGCACGCACGCACGCACGCACGCACGCACGCACGCACGCACGCACGCACACACACACACACACACACACACACACACACACACACACACACACACACACACACACACACACACACACACACACACACACACACACATAAATTACTTGTTCCAACAAGATTTGAAGATTTGAAGCCATTATTTCTTAGCTGGTGAATTAGGTTAAATTAAAGCTGTGAAAAAAAATCAAGAGACCACTTTCTCTGGTTTTACTATTCGGTATGTGTTTGAGTAAAATGAACATTATATTTTAATTCCAGAAATGACTGACAACATTTCTCGCAAATACAAATATTGTAATTTATTTAACTGGTCAAAATAACAAAAAAATATGCAGTGTTTTCAGGCTTCTAATAATGCAAAGAAAACAATTTCACGTTCATGTTTTAACTTAGGAAGAGTTCAGTCATCAATATTTGGGAGAATAACCCTGATTTTTCAGCTTGGCGTGCTCTCAATCAATCAATCAATCAATCAATCAATCAATGTTTATTTATATAGCCCAATATCACAAATGTCTCTCAGTGGATTTTACCGTTTGTACAGAATATCAATACGACAATACGACACCCTCTGTCCTTGGACCGTCACATCATACAAGGAAACACCCAAAAGAAACCCCACAGTTAATGGGAGAAACCCCTAGTAGTTGCAGCCTTAGTATTGATCATACATAACATTACATACATTTTAAAGGTGGGGTAGGTAAGTTTGAGAAATCGGCTCGAGATCGCTAGAATTTGAAAATACACAACCGGAGAAAATCTGCCACTTCCTTACAGACACGAACGCGCACATGACCAATGAGGGCACGAGATAAGTTTGTGCCCAGATGGAAGGCTGACAGGCAGGTAGGCCATCCAGTTATTTTAGCCGGGCCGGCTCAGATGATTGGTCGTGCTTTTTACAGTACTACGGCTTCCACAGATGACATTTTGTTATGTATTTTTTGTCAAAGCACTTCAGATATTCATTGCTATCGGGATGTTAAGAGCATTCCATGGAATATAACAAAAAGTGTATCTCGAGCCGGTTTCTCAAACTTACCTAACCCACCCTTAAAGCCACTTTTGTCCAGTTGTGGTCCATTAACCAGTTAGACCCCAAGCCTGTTGTTCAGGTCTCAGGCTCGAAAATGACATGCCCAGAACAAATGACTATAACTTCACTTCTAAAAGGGGTAAATTAATAATCTTTTTTCTCAAAGCAATGATACACCTGTGAGTTGGATGTAGAAAAGTCAGAATCAATATAGAATTGTTTTATTTTAAAGTAAATTCAGATTGAACATAGTAAAAAAATGTAAATTATTGTGTCCGTCCAAAAAGAAATCATTACTTATAGTGAAAACCACCCTTGAATGATGGGATAGTAGACTAAAAGCTTTAGGAATCCAAACTATAACATATAATAAGTACCCTGTATCAAGATTGATGCAAAACAAGTGACATTTGACCTTTTTAGAGAGATTTAGAAAAAAAAAACACTTCTGGGGTCATTTGGGGGGATTTTCCATATCTCTGGAACCCATCGGTCGATTCTGATGATTGACACCTCTTTTTAACCGTTAGAGCCAATAGAATCGAGGGGAAGTTCCTAAATCCATCTAAACATGACCCATTGGTGAATGAGTGATGCGTAGCCAGAATGCCCAAAACCGGAAGCAGGGTTGTAGCTCTCACACACTATGAAATCTCTGTTATCAGTAATAATTTCAAAGTGACACAGACACATTGGATTAACCTTCAGCAGCGTGTTTATCGTTTTAATGCCATTGAACACAACTTTTGATCAGAACAACAGCAAAGGTAAGACGTATTGGCCGTTTTGGCTCCGTAAAGCTACGTTGTGTGTTGTCTGGGTTTGCCTTCGCTGCCCTGAGTTCTGGTGGCACAGTGATGATACCTCGAGAATCTGTGGAATCTCAGCTTTCATTGGATATCTTGTTTGTGCAGATCCGATAAGTAATACAATATTTCTACCGTGAGTTCTGTGCTAAGTGCGTTAGCATTTTTTCGCTTAGTGCTAATTCAGAGGCTTGGTATTACCCTTGTGTTTCGTTTAGCTAAAAATGGTTTGTATCGTCAGATAGCTGAGTTTCTTCCCGTTAAGTGGGTATGACACATTGATAGGTTGTTAAATGTTAAGAAGCCCTGAGACACAGTTTCGTGAAAAAAAAAACAGGTTAATCGTACATAAGTTTGGTAAAAAACAAACTGTTCCTCCTGCTGTGTAATAGACTGCTGTTATCCTTGAAGCCCCCCGAAGACAAATGTTCAGTGGATCAAATGTTGCCTCCATGTTTTTGGGGCCGGAGTTTTTGTTTGCTATGATTTTTATCAAACAAACGTTTTGTAAATGTTTGAATTCACTGTCAATTTACCATTTATTAATGAATGATGTATCTGTGGAAGTTATGGTGAACACATTTATAATAAGGAGACAAATCAGAGCCATATTTCTTTCACTGAATAATAAAATATATCATCTCTTTTATTCGACCATGTGCAGTGGCTCCTGTGGGATTTCTCCCCGTTGTGTCGACATGTTCTCCTTCTCACTTTTTAATTTGAGTTGATATGAAAGCAGCTGCAGATAAACAGCTCTCTGTCACATCCTGTCCTCTTCACTTCCTGTCTGACGGGCGCAGGTGACAAACAAGATTGAATTCCTCTTTTTATCCTCCAGTGGATCCTAATAACGGAGATCTGATGCGGCACAAAGGAGAAAAAACTCCATTCAGGTGAAGAAACACACGTCTGCTTTTCTATTATTGTGGCAGGAAGAAATACTGACCTCTTGACCTTTGGAGATATCAATCAGAGCAACAGAAGAAGGGCTGCAGCGTTTAGAGGGAGATTCAGGATGGTTACTTTAAAGAGTCCTCTCCTGCTGATGTTCAGGTGTATATCAGTATGTAGTGTCTCTACTTTAAAGAGTCCTCTCCTGCTGATGTTCAGGTGTATATCAGTATGTAGTGTCTCTACTTTAAAGAGTCCTCTCCTGCTGATGTTCAGGTGTATATCAGTATGTAGTGTCTCTACTTTAAAGAGTCCTCTCCTGCTGATGTTCAGGTGTATATCAGTATCTAGTGTCTCTACTTTAAAGAGTCCTCTCCTGCTGATGTTCAGGTGTATATCAGTATGTAGTGTCTCTACTTTAAAGAGTCCTCTCCTGCTGATGTTCAGGTGTATATCAGTATGTAGTGTCTCTACTTTAAAGAGTCCTCATAGCGTGTTATAAAACATGTAAAAAACTCTTACCTGTATATCACATTATATAAACCAGTGTGATCAGATTAACTCAAAGTGATGCAGCACTTAATCCCCATCCAAGGTATATTATGATGCGTTCAGGGTCACAGTTATTTCCAATATCTGATAATATCTGCCAGAGAAGACCAATCAGTGTGTGTGTGTGTGTGTGTGTGTGTGTGTGTGTGTGTGTGTGTGTGTGTGTGTGTGTGTGTGTGTGTGTGTGTGTGTGTGTGTGTGTGTGTGTGTGTGTGTGTGATCAGTTGATTCTGTAAGGCAAACATTCATATTTTACTAATCTGTCTTGCACACATAACAAATGGATGTAATGCATACAAAAGCCTGTACATAGCTCATCATGACCGTATTGTGGACATTGTGTCTGATGCTGTACAAAACATCTTACCATCTAGTGCAGAAATACAAGCACACTAGAGTGCTACCAGAATGGTTTGGTTTTACCAATGATGTCTTTGATAATACCCCAAATACACCTGATGTTGTTTTTGTTGACACCAACCACAAGGAGGTGCTAATCTTAGAAGTAGGATGTGCCTTTGACCTGTACATGCTTTCCAGGACAAGTATATCAAATACCAACCACTGCTCGATGTGATAACCAGCTTTGGGTACAAGTGTAGATATAGTATACTCATATTAGGAAGTCTTGGCCATGTAAATAAAAGCACCATGATTGGTCTGAGAATTGTCAAAGAGAAAAGCCAAACAAATGGCCAAATATTGCTCTGTCTCAGCTTTTATTGGCAGCTTAGCCGTGTGGAGAAGGAGGTGCTATGTGTTCCCTTAAGTGTTCTGTGCTGCTTAGCCGTGTGAGAGAAGGAGGTGCTATGTGTTCCCTTAAGTGTTCTGTGCTGCTTAGCCGTGTGGAGAAGGAGGTGCTATGTGTTCCCTTAAGTGTTCTGTGCTGCTTAGCCGTGTGGAGAAGGAGGTGCTATGTGTTCCCTTAAGTGCTCTGTGCTGCTTAGCCCCGATATATTTGATTCTCTGTCTATGTAATATAATTTGTGGAACCAAATAAAGTATTCAAATGTGTGTGTGTGTGTGTGTGTGTATCAGTTGATTCTGTAAGGCAAACATTCATATTTGACTAATTTGTCCATAACGAAAACACCATCGTACCGTAGTACATTTATTCTGGAACTGTATTAACGTACAATGTTGCACTTGAATACTCCCATACACTCCTTCATACATCTCTGCCACATGTCAGTGGGAAACAGTGTACATGTCACTCCTCTGCATTTATTTCATATATAGTTTTAGTTAGTACCGTAGTTATTATACAAATTGAAATTAAGATTATACAGACTCAATTACAAATGCTTTTTATTGTTTTGATCGTTCCAATATCTGATCATATCTGCCAGAGAAGACCAATCGTGTTTATAGGGGGGGCTGTGTGTGTGTGTGTGTGTGTGTGTGTGTGTGTGTGTGTGTGTGTGTGTGTGTGTGTGAAACCCCCTGAATAACGTCAACGCTTGGAGAGCCGCGTCGTGCGTTTTGGTGCCGTGCGTAAAGACGGTTCCAACGGAAGATGTGCGCTTTTGATGAGCTTTTTCTCCACATTTGCTGCTCCTTTTTTTTTCTCCCTAAAGAGTGATCCGTGACAGTAACAGGACACTCGATCTATTTATAACTCTCACAACAAGCCCTGGAATTGAAACATGGACCCTCTGTTCAACACCACGGAGTTTAACGGCACCGGGAATAACAGCTCCGGTAACGGCAGCGACGGGTTGAACCAGTTCGTGCAGCCGGTGTGGCAGATCGCTCTGTGGGGGGTGCTGTACTGCAGCATGGTGGCGGTGTCCGTGGTGGGAAACATGGTGGTCATCTGGATCATTCTGGCACACAAACGCATGAGGACCGTCACCAACTACTTTCTGGTGAGGGACGTGTTAAGGGGTTTCTAAATTGTGTTCCCATTCAGATTGGTTGACATTAAAGGAATATATTTATTGTTGTATAGATTGTATAATCTTTATCTCCAAATCTAAATATTTGAGAGGCTGAAATCGGATTTTCCTGACATTTTCCATGAAACATCACCACCAGATGTCCATCCCAGTCTTTCAATGTCTTCAGATGCATTATGTGTATATACAATACAATACATTATTTACCCATGTGGGATATTAACCTCTTATATAAGTAATATATAGTAAAATAATATGCAAAATCACATTTTTCTAAATTGTACCTCGCTCCGAAGCACTTTGAGCTGATTGTATAACAAGTGCCTTAGTAAACAAAGTTAAGTTCATGTATTGGCTTTTTTTGATCAAAATGTGATTGTAGTTCGTTGTAAACCTTACCACGGTACTTAGGAGACGTAATTTGTGTCTGAACAACGTTTTGTTCATGAGTTATTGATCCATGAAATCCGAATCTGCCAATATCGTTCCAACTTTACTGAACTACAAAAGTTAACCTGTCTTTTCTCTACCTATGAGTTCTTTAAATGGCCTCCCATGTGCTGTTAAAGGTCTTAAAAAGTATTTGATTTAACTTATATCTTAATAATGTAACCTGCAGAAACCCTGGTTATGGTTGCATGTGGTACAAGTAGAAATACACAACACATGAATACTAATTATCGAACAAAATGATGCATATTATCGTGATTTGACTTCAGTGTGAATATCACAGAATGCTTTTCTCCTGCAGTTTGCATTCATTGGAGGTCTTTGCATCGTGAGTTTCCCTCCGCGTGCAGAGAGGGGTTTTAAATCTCCAGAGACAGGAATATAAGATATATCTGTACTACCTTCCTGCAGGTGAACCTTGCGTTTGCAGAAGCCTCCATGTCTGCCTTCAACACGGTGATCAACTTCACGTACGCCGTGCACAACGAGTGGTACTTCGGTCCGATCTACTGCCGCTTCCACAACTTCTTCCCCATCGCTGCCATCTTCGCCAGCATCTACTCCATGACGGCCATCGCTCTGGACAGGTGTGTGTGTGTGTCAGTGTCTGTGTCAGTGTGTGTGTGTTTATTTGCACGTTGTTGGCATACACAGTATGTTTTGTGTTTTTATTTGTATATTTGTTCTGTTATAACGCCTTCTTCTTCATGTGTTTTGGAACATTTGTGTTTTAATATTTGGGTTAACCTCCCTCCTCTCCTCTCTCAGGTACATGGCGATCATCCGGCCCCTGCAGCAGAGGCTCAGCTCCACAGAGACCCGGATGGTGGTCCTGGTGATCTGGACCCTGGCTCTGCTGCTGGCCTTCCCTCAGTACCACTTCTCCTCCATCGCCGCGCTGCCCGGACGCACCGTCTGCTACATCGACTGGCCCGAGTACAGCAGCCTGGACTTCAGGAAGCTGTGAGTACCTGAGGTGCAAAGGAGCTGTGCACCGTGCAGGGTGACTGACAGCTGCTCCACGGTGAAAATCACATCTTATAGGAGCCGCATTTAAAGGTCACCTATTATGCAGGATACACTTCCTCATGTCTCTTCTACATCAACATGTGTCCCCTCTTCTTCATGTCTCTTCTACTTCAACATGTGTCCCCTCTTCTTCATGTCTCTTCTACATCAACATGTGTCCCCTCTTCTTCATGTCTCTTCTACATCAACATGTGTCCCCTCTTCTTCATGTCTCTTCTACATCAACATGTGTCCCCTCTTCTTCATGTCTCTTCTACATCAACATGTGTCACCTCTTCTTCATGTCTCTTCTACATCAACATGTGTCCCCTCTTCTTCATGTCTCTTCTACATCAACATGTGTCCCCTCTTCTTCATGTCTCTTCTTCATCAACATGTGTCCCCTCTTCTTCATGTCTCTTCTACATCAACATGTGTCCCCTCTTCTTCATGTCTCTTCTACATCAACATGTGTCCCCTCTTCATCACGTCTCTTCTACATCAACATGTGTCCCCTCTTCTTCACGTCTCTTCTACATCAACATGTGTCCCCTCTTCTTCATGTCTCTTCTTCATCAACATGTGTCCCCTCTTCTTCATGTCTCTTCTTCATCAACATGTGTCCCCTCTTCTTCATGTCTCTTCTTCATCAACATGTGTCCCCTCTTCTTCATGTCTCTTCCACATCAACATGTGTCCCCTCTTCTTCATGTCTCTTCTTCATCAGCATGTGTCCCCTCTTCTTCATGTCTCTTCTTCATCAGCATGTGTCCCCTCTTCTTCATGTCTCTTCTACATCAGCATGTGTCCCCTCTTCTTCATGTCTCTTCTTCATCAACATGTGTCCCCTCTTCTTCATGTCTCTTCTTCATCAACATGTGTCCCCTCTTCTTCATGTCTCTTCTTCATCAACATGTGTCCCCTCTTCTTCATGTCTCTTCTTCATCAACATGTGTCCCCTCTTCTTCATGTCTCTTCTTCATCACCATGTGTCCCCTCTGTGGAAAGAGACTCTGAAAGTTTCAGGAACAAAGATTCTCTCTCTTTTTGATCCATTTATATAAAAACCTGTCTGAAAATGAGCTGATCAGATTTTGGCCACTTTATGATGTCATAACGATGTTTTGTCTTGTGTAACCATTAGCCAATCAGCAACCAAGGTAACCCCCCCCCCCCCCCCCCCCCCTTATCACCTGAATCTCCTCCTAGAGCACCATTGAGTTCTTTGTAACCAAATCTCTCTCAGAGGGGCGTGGGGAGGGGCTCCTTATTTTCATCCAAAGTAACAGACAGAGAATCAGCACTTTGGAAACAGGGCTGAAACAGAGGGGATTATGGGTAATGCTGCAATGATCTGTTTGGGGTTTCAGCCAATCAGAGACAGGCTCTGGATATATCTGAGACCTGTCATATATTGATGAAGAACAGTATAATAGGGGACCTTTAAGTCATTTATCTATTGCAGCAAGAGGTGCACCTTGCTCAGGTGTTGAGGGCGGGGCTAAAGTGTTAAGTTGGAGGTACTTAGTGTGAGCGCAGCCTTTGTCTCAGTGAAACAGATTAATGGGATTTGCTGCTAAAGTTTAAGCTACAAGTTGATATTATTTTCGTATTTTGTTTTTTTGGCGATAAACGTTCAAGATCAATCTATCAAAACGTCCAGTGGATTTTTTACCCAAGCTGTGAGTCTGACACTTTTTGGAATAAGGAGTTATAAGACAAACTGATAGGATTTTGGCCCACTACACATCACATGAATAATAAATGTTCCCCCCTCAAATCCCAGATACTACGTGTGTGTGACAGTCCTGATCTACTTCCTGCCGCTTTGCATCATGGGATGTGCGTACACCATCGTGGGCGTCACCCTCTGGGCGAGCGAGATCCCCGGAGACTCGTCCCAACGCTACAAAGAACAGCTGATCGCAAAACGCAAGGTGAAGCATCATTTAATCCCCACGTGAAAACAAAGGATTATTTTAAATCAGTGTTTCTGTGTGTGTCAGGTGGCAGAGAGGGCAAGAGTACATACATCCTTTACTCAAGTAGAAGTACACATACTCGTGTTTAAAAGTACTCGGGTGAAAGTAGAAGTACTGACTAAACTTCTTCACTCAAGTAAAAGTAAAGAGGGCTTTGAAATGTACTTCAGTAAAAAGTACCCATAACTAGCAGCTGTTTTAAAGAGTACCTGACCTCCCTTTATATTAATAGAACAATAATGTCATTGTTAGCTAATGAATGTTTCCATGCTGAACAACGGCAACATGACAACGTTTCCATTGGTCCCTCTTCTTTAGAGAAGACCAGGAAATGATGGATACACGGATCGTGTTCAAATCAATAGGCACGCAATGACTCTAAATAATAATGATCACGCCACCAAACACACATTCAAACTAAAGGAACCAGCCTGTTTGGGAAATGAGAGAAGTAGAAAGTACAGGTATTTGGGTTCAACATGTAAGAAGTAGAAAGTACAGGTATTTGTGTTCAACATGTAAGAAGTAGAAAGTACAGGTATTTGGGTTCAACATGTAAGAAGTAGAAAGTACAGGTATTTGTGTTCAACATGTAAGAAGTAGAAAGTACAGGTATTTGGGTTCAACATGTAAGAAGTAGAAAGTACAGGTATTTGTGTTCAACATGTAAGAAGTAGAAAGTACAGGTATTTGGGTTCAACATGTAAGAAGTAGAAAGTACAGGTATTTGGGTTCAACATGTAAGAAGTAGAAAGTACAGGTATTTGTGTTCAACATGTAAGAAGTAGAAAGTACAGGTATTTGGGTTCAAAATGTAAGAAGTAGAAAGTACAGGTATTTGTGTTCAACATGTAAGAAGTAGAAAGTACAGGTATTTGTGTTCAACATGTAAGAAGTAGAAAGTACAGGTATTTGGGTTCAACATGTAAGTAAGTAGAAAGTACAGGTATTTGTGTTCAACATGTAAGAAGTAAAAGTACAGGTATTTGTGTTCAAAATGTAAGAAGTAGAAAGTACAGGTATTTGGGTTCAAAATGTAAGAAGTAGAAAGTACAGGTATTTGTGTTCAACATGTAAGAAGTAGAAAGTACAGGTATTTGTGTTCAACATGGAAGAAGTAGAAAGTTCAGGTATTTGTGTTCAACATGTAAGAAGTAGAAAGTACAGGTATTTGTGTTCAACATGTAAGAAGTAGAAAGTACAGGTATTTGTGTTCAAATGTAGAAGTAGAAAGTACAGGTATTTGTGTTCAACATGTAAGAAGTAGAAAGTTCAGGTATTTGTGTTCAACATGTAAGAAGTAGAAAGTACAGGTATTTGTGTTCAACATGTAAGAAGTAGAAAGTACAGGTATTTGGGTTCAACATGTAAGAAGTAGAAAGTACAGGTATTTGTGTTCAACATGTAAGAAGTAGAAAGTACAGGTATTTGGGTCTAAAATGTAAGAAGTAGAAAGTACAGGTATTTGTGTTCAACATGTAAGAAGTAGAAAGTACAGGTATTTGGGTTCAAAATGTAAGAAGTAGAAAGTACAGGTATTTGTGTTCAACATGTAAGAAGTAGAAAGTACAGGTATTTGTGTTCAAAATGTAAGAAGTAGAAAGTACAGGTATTTGGGTTCAAACATGTAAGAAGTAGAAAGTACAGGTATTTGTGTTCAACATGTAAGAAGTAGAAAGTACAGGTATTGTGTTCAACATGTAAGAAGTAGAAAGTACAGGTATTTGTGTTCAAAATGTAAGAAGTAGAAAGTACAGGTATTTGTGTTCAACATGTAAGAAGTAGAAAGTACAGGTATTTGTGTTCAAAATGTAAGAAGTAGAAAGTACAGGTATTTGAGTTCAACATGTAAGAAGTAGAAAGTACAGGTATTTGGGTTCAAAATGTAAGAAGTCAAAGTAAAAAGTCGTCAGAAAAACAAGTAGTGGAGTAAAGTACTGATACCAGAAGAATGTACTTAAGTACAGTAACGTAGTATTTGTACTCCCCCCCTCTGTCAGGTGGTGAAGATGATGATGGTGGTGGTGTGTACCTTCGCTCTCTGCTGGCTCCCCTACCACGTCTACTTCCTGCTCCACGAGTTCTTCCCCGAACTCTTCGAGCAGCGCTACATCCAGCAGGTGTACCTGGGCGTCATGTGGCTGGCCATGAGCTCCACCATGTACAACCCCATCATCTACTACTGCCTCAACAGCAGGTGGGAGCTTCACCTGCTGTCAACCATCCTGTTAAACATCTGCTCAAAGATTGTTGGTCAACCCTGTCAGAGACTTTATGACTCAGCATACCATAATGTTGGGAAAATCCTGAATGTCCTCTTCCAATATGAGAGTACACATGATAACAAAGGTATCCCAACTGTAGCTGTGAACATGACAGGATGTATGATTACCTAGAAGAGCATCAGGACTGTTTGAGGCATATGATAGCTATGTGATTAACATGATGATTCAGCCTCTATGGAGATAGACATATGACAAGCATGCTCATTTCTGACGTGGAGCTAATCTGAAGTAAACATTGAATACTTGCTTTCTATTCCTCCATCTTGTGACCTGTGTAACTCCCTCTCTTGGATATCAGCATGTGAAGGACACTGTTCAGGAACTAGTTTGATGCTCTGTATGTGATGACTACTTCCATTCTGGAGAGGATCACAAATACATGGATCCTGAGATTGAAGCTCAAGCCGGTGACTAGTGATATTTTTCTAGTAGTAGTAGTAGTTGTATTAATAGTTGTATGAGTAGTAGTGGTGTTAGTAGTAGTAGTATTTGTTGTACTTGTAGTTGATGTTTTACTAGTAGTAGTAGTAGTAGTAGTAGTAGTAGTAGTAGTGTAGTAGTAGTAGTAGTAGTAGTAGTAGTAGTAGTAGTAGTAGTAGTAGTAGTAGTAGTAGTAGTAGGTAGTAGTAGTAGTAGTGGTAGTAGTAGGTAGTAGTAGTAGTAGT